AAAAAAGGTGTCAAGTTGGCTTGGAAATTACATCATTATTTCCAAGCCAACTCACACCGTTTTTTTTTTCGATCGTATGGTACTATATGCGCCAGAGATATTTGACTTAAATTAAGTCTCATCCATTCCATGATCTTAAATTAAATAATTGTTTCTCTGATTATTTTTTCTTTGTAAATCAGATTCAGATGTGCAGTTTTTTGAATTTTGGGCATTAGTGCATGCAATATCTTTAGACATCCCTTCCGTAGATTTTAGAACGAATTGCCTTTTATTTCTTGGTCGTATGTATTATTTGAAAAATATCAAATACATAGTTTGAATGCTGTGCCAGAATTCTGTGAAATTAATTACTAGTCCTAAATAATTAAACTCAACTGATTGAGTATTGTTAAAGTTTTTAAATCAAGATGTAGCTTTATTATTAATTTATAGATTATATTAAATATATAACAGTTTCTTAGACGTTAGCTTTCTTTAAATTTTGCTAAATTTTTGTGCATGTGCAATATGCAAATCTAAAATTGTGTAACCTATTTTGTTGTATTTTAATTCTAATTTTTTTGAGGTAAATATTTATCTATATTAAATAAGTTACACATTTTGTTAAAATGTATTTTTTTTCTTTGTAGTTTATTAAATTATTTTATTGTTATTCCTAGTTGTATTCGATTTATATGTATATGAAATGTTATATTTCCTATTTTGACTATTAAGACATATTTTTATTTTTTATTACATAGATATAATAGTAATTGATGTAAAATATATTTCTTCCTAATTTATTGTATTAAAAGTTTATAATTTTTTAAGTTCCTCTTCATACATTTAACAATTTGCATTAGTTGAAATGACAGTTTTATATTGTTTTAGTTGAATTTCTAGAGTTTCTTTACACTATATTTTCGATTTGATTTTAGTTTTACCAAAAGAAAATATTTTTCAAACGTTTTATTCATTTTTATGCTTATACATATTTTATGCCTGTAAGAAGTTCCTCGATATCCATATTTTTATTATACAATTTATTTTTGTTCTAAAAAAGGTGCTTGAGCAGATATTTTATTAAGAATCTGTATCTATCAAGTGTTTTTCAGAAGTTTTTATATGATCAAACGGTATAGTCAAAGTTAAAATTAAATAGAAAATATGTTGGTGTAAAATAACTTTAAATCATTCTCATCATATATTATTTATTTAATTATTCAACATTAATTCTAACCCCAATTTTAATTGAAAGTAAGATAAAAATAACTATTTATCTTTGCTAGTGTATGCTTGCCTCCTATTTCATTGATGTTACTATTACCGTTGATTGAAAGAATTGGGAAGATACGCAACCTAATGGGCAAATTCGTGACAAGGCCGACTTGATTTTCCCTTACGTCTCAAGCGCTGTATGGCGGAGCCTCTACTCGTTCTGCGGCCAAAAACACATAAAAACGCATATATAACATTCATTTTCTCTAATTCGGCTAGCGAAGGCATATCAAAGACGGTGTGGAACTAAAAGCGACAGTGTTGCCCTATTAAAATGTGTAATATTTGTAATACGTTTGACAAAAATATCTTTGTGAAAAATAAATAAAAATATCTTGTTGAAAAATCCGAGTTTATGTATTGAAAATTTATTCGTGTTAACATGGAGTAAACTACAAACAAAAATTCTTTTATAGGTACTAAGTACATAATATTTTACATGTGAAATAACAGCGATCTTCATTTCCAAGCCAACTCTGGCGCCGTTCTTTGTTTAACCATATAATATTATATTAAATTGTTAGGTTAGGTTGGTGATTACTATGTTCATAGAAAATCCGTATTATTAACGTACTGTACCCAAAATCCATAAATTTACGGATTAATCCGTAGTTCTGACAACACTGTCTCCTACAACCACCCACTCTGACGACTGATAGCAGAACTAGGGTACAGTATTTATTTATTCTGCACTGTAAAAGACTACCAGCGCGCAGCGGCGCAGAGCTAAACTAAATCGCGGAAAAGTTGACTAGCGGCGACGGCGTTGCCAGCTACATCTCGGGCAGGTTTTGTGCCACGAAATCGTCCATAAGGTTGCGCATCTTCTTATTTCATCGATCAACGCTATTACCATATTTTCCATCATGTACATAATATGAAACTATCTTTCTAAGTTCAAATTATATTATTGCAAAATAATCTAATTAGGTAGGTTACCATTTCGACATAAATAAAGTGTATTTATTTTTATTTTTGTCAGTTATTTTCCCATGGCGTTGTGGTGACACTTTGTAAAAAAATGCATGGCATGGATCTTTGAGTACCTGTATAGAAACTATAAAACTTTAAATGCCTCATGATCGAAAAAACGGCATCACAGTTGCCTTTCAGATGACAATCGAATAATTTCTGTGGAACCAATCCTTATATGCAATTTATTTAAAATCGACATAAAAAATTAATTTTTGACTTATTTTTAATGTAGGGATCGGTCCAAACAGATTATCTTCGATTACCAGTTAAAAGGCCACTATGACGCCGTTTTTTATTCGACTGTATGGTATAACTTTGAGAAATTCTTCAAAGAAACTTTTTTTTATCAGAATTCGTCACCAATAGAAATAACTTGAAACATTAAAAAAAAATAGTCAGTCCACTTTTTGTAGATAACTAAATATGTATAGTCTGTTATCAAATTAAATACAGAAAGGATATTTTAAGCCACCTTATAATTGCTTATGATACTAATACGATTTAACACAACTAAAATTAATAACTCTATATATATATTATAAATAAAAGTTGGTTCTAAGTTGTATTTCTTATTTTTTTCTGTAACTGTGTAAATGGTAAACAGTCGTTTAATTACCAACTAGAACTATAGTCAGTCCAGCGAGCATTTTAAAGCACACGTTCTCAATACTATGTTGTGTTGCTGACAGCACTTAAAAACCAATGAGATTTGTGCAAAATTCAAAGAGCTGTCAAATTTAATTTTAGTACAAATCTCATTGGTTCTTCGCAGTGTCGCCAGCGACACTACATAGTTCTGAAAACTACGGTTAAATTGTATTTTCTGCGTATATAATAGTGACTATATCGTCTCTATTCTGCATTTTGTGAAGCCGAGGTGAAGTAGGTATACAGGTTGTTAACTGGACAGTTACTTATAGCGGAACAGAATGGCAACACTGCTTATTGAGAACGCCAATGACTAAAGAATATAAGGACATGTAACGCCCCTATACGGGCTGCAGCAGAATTTGTGACCTTAGTGACCTTTCTTTTGGTGGCAAACAATGAGTCATCATTTGGTCACCAGCGACAATTTTAGCGATTTTTAATAGTTTGTGTGTAGTAAACTTTGTATAAACTTTATTACAATGGTGTTTAGTTGTTCAGCTTTCAAGTGTAAATGCAGCAGCGATAAGAAAGAGCCAGGAGTTACGTTTCATAGGTAAATAAACAGTCCACTCCAACTTTTTAGCGTTTTCTTATTGAATTCGATAATTATTCTTCAATTTCAATTAACTATCTATATGTACTTAATATGTGCTATACGTCGATACTAGTTTTGTACTTTTTGTTAACATTTTAATACCTTTTTTTCGTAATTAATTAGGATGATACACCATAGGCGTAGTCAAAACAATTATCAAAAAATATAAATATTGCTTCAAACAGCTAGGTTAAGAAAAATATGTGCTACGGCACTGTTTGGTGACATCGTCACAATTTGTTCTCGGGTGTTCTTTGTCCTTGGATTCTTTAGTCATTGGAGAACGCAGTGTATAGGGTTTTCTGCCGACTCGTCCCGTCGCGTCGTCTGTCGACGAGCGGGCCGAGGTTGCCATATTTCAACCATAAAGCTCTTGCCGCGAGTAATAAACAAATTAACAACCTGTATAAGTCTTCTGAAGAAATGTGGGGGTATAAGTGTTTCTTTGAAGGAAGTAGAAGGTTTTTGCGCAAGTCAGGGTCACAAGTAATCAACGAGAGTCAAATTTCCGAATATTGGACTTGCGCATAACGCCAGTACTTCCCTAATAGAGGAACTTATGTGAAATATATATGGAACGTGTATCTAGTTGTCTGTGCCTCGTCCTCAATTCCAACACACGGCAGGTATAGGGTATAATCTATATAGTCATTATTATATACCGAGTGGTGCATCGTCATGGAAAACAGGAAATCCCATGCAAATTTTGAACTGTCCAAATATTGGCTCCCCTATTAATTTTATAGCTAGGTCATAAATAGATTTTTTAAAATCTGCGTATGCTCAATACACATGCCAAACCAAATCAAACCAAACCAAATTTGAACAATGGTGGACAAGCCAATTTTAAGTAATTCATGAAAGACATGCATCTATTTTTAAATTAAAACTGAATAGGTGACAATGCAAAACCAGTCAAATGTCAACATACATTAAGTTGTCAGTCTATGATTTTATCATTGTCAGTTGTAATTTGTGGTGCTGTCTACACTGCTGCGTTATAGTACATACGCTTAGTGTCCTCGAAATGTATTTTTATAATTTAAAACTGCTTCGAATGAGACAAAAGCATAACGTTTAGAAAATACAATTTGACATTGACAACATTATAGGATTATAACTTAAGGTATGTTGGCATTTGCCTGGTTTGGCATTGTTACCTTTTCAGTTTCAATTAAAAAATAGATGCTGTTTTTCTTAAATTACTTAAAATCGTTTTGTCCAAAATTGTTCAAATTTGGCATATGTATTCAGCATACGCAGATCTTTAAAAAACCTATTTACAACTTCGCTGTATAGTTAACAGGTCAGCCAATATCTGGACAGTTCAAAATTTTTATATGATTTTCTGTCATTATTTGGATGTTGTCTGTCGAAATCTTCCCCTACTCATGGACAAACTGTAGTTCCATATCGTTTCGTTCGTTTTTTATATAATATAATTATGGACCAATTTTTGAAAAATGTTATTTTTTAATAGTCATTTAAGATCGGTTTTAAGGTGTTTGGTGCTTTGCAGGTGACGCAAGGTGATGGCGACTCGTCCCTACACAGGTTGGCCGAATCTAAGTATACCAAGGGCTCATCATAGGTAAAGCAACAAACATCAATCGGGTCTTTACTAAGAACGAAAAATATCTGATTAAATCGCAAGAAAATGTTACTGTGCAATATAGATTGAGGAGCACACTACTTTTTTATTTACATTTTATTTTCCTTTAATATTGTTTTAATAGAGAATAGTCTATGTATTTTTCAAAATTATGTAACTTTATTTATTTTGTTTTATAAATAATTATAAAAAAAATGTTAAGGGGTGGCTCTTTAGAAGTCAGTAATGAGGGTTTTTGATTTTTTTTTTTTTGATTAAAAGTTTGTTGCTTAGGAGCCGAATAAAAGTTTAAGTTTCAAAAATAGCTATATTTAGATCATGCCAACTTGAATTATTTTGAGCTTGTTGGTAGCTTTTTTATGTTCTGTGGGGAAAAGAGTCACTCGATAACATTTAAATGGTGCTCAGTGAGAATTTCTTTTATTTTGATAGCTTTTAATTTCGTATTTTTCAGATTTCAGTAATTCGTTACTACATATACCAATTTGGTCATTTTAGAAGTGTGGTCTGGATTTTAACGTGTAAGACAGAATAATATAAATGACCTGTTGACAGACAGAGAGACAAAATCAAAAGCGGCAAACAGTGTTACCAGTTTTTACGTTTGTAGGAAAATTTGTGTAGAAAAAATATTTTAAAAACTTTCATGTATACTACCGAAATGAAGATAATATATCTACGCTAAATATAATCTATTACATCTATAGTAAAATTAGTAACTAATTGTGAAAAATAAGGTTCCAAAAACATTTTCCATAAACGCCTACTTGTGCGGTTTGAACTTTTGATGCAAAACCCGGCAATACCGCATAGAAGAAATGTATTAACCCAACTTTTATCTTTTTTTAATACATTTGATTTTCCATTGAGCTGCCTACATCACTGTCTTACACGTTAAAATCCAGACCACACTTCTGAAATGACCAAATCGGTATACATTTGAGGATCGCTAAAGGAATAAAAGAAATATTTCATGTATTTATATAGTATCGAGTAATTTCTTACCGCTATGTCAATGTCAGAGTACTAACTGTTTCATTTTCATACAGTTAATATTTTTATTTTTGTGCCTACAACTTTGTACATTTTTTTTGTATATTTGTTGTATAATTTTTTAAGTTTTTTAGCTTCTGTTGTGTGGTTGTGCAAGGATAAAAATAAATCAATATCGTGTAGTTGATTCAAGAGACTGAAATCCTGTAGTTGCATTCGGATGGGCGTATGTAATTAAATAATGATCAAAAATACTACTTTAGTAAACTCTATCTTTATTTTTATGTTGAAGGATATTCAAAATTCAAGGTACTGAGATTGAAATTATTATAGATTTGATTTTTTTTTCTTCTACGGTATATTAGAAAATTACATTATATTTAAAATTATCCCAATAATTTCAATTTCAGTATTATATTTTTGAATAAATTCCTTTCAAACTATATTGTTTTGTGATTATGACTTATTATAGAACTTAGAAAACCAATTATTGATCAAAGATAGCTTGGTCGATAAAAATATGTAAATATATTTAGAGTAGAATTTGTATCTCTTGATACGTTTAGTTTCTAACGTTATTATCTGTAAAGTTTAATTTATTTGTTTTGTAATATATTTTTAAATTTATAATTACGCCTTGCTCTTTTTATACTTGATTTTCTTTTTCTCAGTGAATAACAAAAATAATATTTTTGTGACACAAACTATTTACCTATCATTCAGGTAAATTAAAACGTTCGGTTTATTAAAAACGAAAACACACCGTATCATCGAAATAAAACGACGTCACGGTAGGCGTAGAAATAACATTTTGATTTAAACTTTACTATAACGGGTGTTTTTCAAAACTGGCTCTCCTCTGTAACACAGTATATGAAATAGATAAGACTTCATTGCCGTTGTCAATTATTTTCGGTCTCTTCACGGGAGGTTAGAAAGTAATAGTGATCATCAGTTTCTTGACGGTCATCTTTAGATGATCTTAAAAATTTTGCATAATATTAATTAAACTACCGTAGTATACCGGGTGCGTCTCAAAAGTGACCCACCCATACAACTTCTTTATTTATTCAGATAAAAAAAACGAGATTTAGTATACCGGGTGTGTCTCAAAAGTGGCTCACCTCTATAACTTTTTTATTTTTTCAGATAAAGAAACGAGATTTGGTATGTTAGTATATGACATAAATGAGAATTGATTGGCGTATTCAATTGTTTTTGGCCACTTCCTGTTTCAACGGAAATGACTACAACTTTTGATTTTTAAATGGCACCCTCGGTATTTTTACTTTATTCGATAGAAAATGACATTCTGAATAGAATCACATATCATATGTCAACTTTTGACATTCTCGCTTAGAACAAAATTGAATTTTAAAATTCAATCTAGAGTGCCATGGTTTTTTATTGTCTTGTTCTGACCAGTTAGAAAATGCTCAAATCGTATTTTTAATCATATCTCAATTTTTTCAAATGGAACGAGGGTGGCTCATTAGCATATTTGGAAAAAGCATTTTTTGCGAATAATTTGGTACCACACACTTGGTATTTCGAGTCAAAAAAAATTTTCGTTAAGTTATAATTTCAAATAAACCTTATGCGAAAATGTCAAAAGTTGACATATGATATGTCATTCTATTCAGAGTGTTATTTTCTATCGAATAAAGTAAAAAAATACCGAGGGTGTCATTTAAAGTTGTAGACATTTCCGGTGAAACAGGAAGTACTAACATACTAACATACCAAATCTCGTTTTTTTAACTGCAAAAATAAAAAAGTTATATGGGTGAGCCACTTTTGAGACTCACCCGGTATATATTAGTATATGACATAAATCAGGATTGATTGACGTATTCAATTGTTCCCTGTCACTTCCTTTTTCACCGGAAATGACTACAACTTTTAATATTTATATAATATTTTTTACTTTATTCAATGATATTCTGAATAAAATGACACCTCATATGTCAACTTTTGATATTTTCGCTAAAAAAGTAATATTTTAAATTTCAGTCTGGAGTGCCATGACTGTTGATAATGACAATTTGACTCGAAATGCTATGTAATAGTATGTGATACCAAATTATTTGTTAAAAAATGCGTTTTCCAAATATGCTAATGAGCCACCCTCGTTTCATTTGAAAACATTGAGTTATGGTTATTTCAGCATCTTTTAACCCGCCAGGAATTTATGGAAAAAAAATTAGATGATCAAATCGATTTTTGTGAGGCTCCTTGATTAAAAATTAGTGGTTTTAAGACAACCATAGGACTCTAGATTGATAGTTTTTTTTATCTGAAAAAAAGTTAAGGGGTTGCAAAAGGGAAACTTTTGAAAAACACGGTATACAGGGTATCCCTTTCGTGAACGTAGAACTACTACGTATTTTTGGAATCAAAATAAGTTCATTGAACATATTTAACCTCTATACAAAAGTGCTTTGTTTGTCCGCTAGGGGGCATCAACAATTTTTCAAATATTTTAAGAACCGTTATTCCGATTTGAGTGAAATTCTGTGTCTCTATTTTTTGCTAATTGCTTTAACATTTGACTTAAACAAAAATGAAGAAAAAGTACGGGAAGGGTGAAAGTTACCCCCACCCCTACATAAATTTTAGTATAAATATTTTCCAACTCAACCGACGACCAATTTTCTTTTTGTAAAATGTTCTTTTTAGTATTTACTACATTTTTTATATCTTGTAAAAAAACGCCATATCGCATAGTGTTTGAGAAAAAAGCAGACCTACAAAATATACAGGGACTTCCAATATTCCGTAGACATAGAACAACTACATATTCTTTGAATCAAAATAAATTAATTGCACATAATTTCCCTTTATACAAAAGTGCTTCGTTTGTCCATTAGAGGGCATCAATCAAAAACAAGCACGAACGTTAATTAATTTAAAAATTATTAATTTTTTCAAGCTTTTATGAAGCTTATTGTCAAATATAATTTGTAATATTACTAAGGTAAAATACCATATTTTCGCCAACTAGATTATTAAGAGCATAATAGATTTTATGCCCCTCTGGAGCTTGATGAATAGTAATAAATATTTTTGGAAGTCAGCTTCAGAATTTTTTTTTTCCTCAAAAAGTATGTACGATGGCGTTTTTTACAAGAGGCAAAAAATGTAATAAACACTAGAAGGACCATTTTACGAAAAAAAAAATCGATGGGCGTTTGAATTGGAAAATACTTTCTATATAATAAGTTCTTGTTCGGAGTTACAACTATAATATGAAAAATATAAATAGTTTTCAAAGAAAAATTACTATATATTGTTGTATTATAGTTTACCATTACTCAGCTGGCAAGATCTTTAGCAATATACAAAGTATAGCTTGAACTGAAATGTAATTTCTCAATCCACTGTGACATCGTTATTATTCGCATGTTTTTCAAATAAATAGATAGTCAATCGTAGATTTTATATCAAATTAGAGTAGATAATCTTTTTATAATCTGAAACCGGTCATATTTCTCCATGTTTTTTCCTGCCATACCACGTCAAAAATGTCGAAAGGCACATCCATTTCTCTTATTTTTATATATAAACATAGATAAAAATACTTTTTATTTTCTGTGTCATTTACTGTAAGCGAAATATAATACAAAATTAAAATTAGGAATTTAAAAGGCAAAATTATGAGAATAAAATTAGATAAATATCATTTAATCGAAGTAACTACGCCTTAAACGCGAAGAAAAATATAAAAAAAAATCATTAATCTATAGTAAGTTCGGCTAAAGAATATAATATAACAACTGTCAACAGTTGTTTGTTACTCATTCTTTTTTCTGTCATTTTTTTGGATGACGTATGTCAAGATATTGTATTCTGTCGCTGGAAAACAAAATAAATAAATCCACAAAAAAAAACAGCTGACGAAGTTTTGATATAATTTCAAACTATATGATAAAATAATTTTAAAATCGAGGAGGTTTTAGACGTTAACAGTGAACAAAACTGTGATGTGATTACCTATTTAGATTCCTCCTCGGTTATATAGACCCTTAATAAAAGTTCTACTATCATAAGGGCAATTGTATGATATAAAAACAGCAAGCAATTACCAATAAATTTATTGATAATTTGGATTGTTCACTGATGCTAATGTACGCTATTGTGGCGCTAAAAAAGTTATAAAACTATTAGGAAATTTAGGTCGTAATTGAACAATTTAATTTTTTACAAATATCTCTACAACTCTTATGAGAATTTAGCTCTATTTAAATCACCAACTTTAAATTTTTCAAATTATGTAAAAATGTAGATATTTTTAGTCCATTGCGTAGCTTTCGTTTTGATTTTTGGGTAACATTTTCAGGGTATGACTGTACATAAGCATAGAAATTAACTTTTGTTTTCTGATATTTATTACTAGTACGAGTTAGTTTTTTGTCAATTTGTTGACACCAAGAATAGCCAAAATACCACAAAAATATATATTTATTTTTTTATAAATAATTTGACTTGTCAAATTGGTTTGTATATAAAACAGTGAAATTGTGAAATTAATAACGAACGTTTTTAATTTCATTTCTCTTATGGTAATGCAACCATTAGAATATCCATCTATCTTAACTATATAACACCATTAAGCTGAAATACTGTTAATAAATATTATACTTTTAATTCTTGTTTTATTTAATCCATTCTGACTATAATTAACTTTAAATAAATTCGTAAGCCATAATTCACTATGTGTATATGTATGGTAATCAAGAAAATTAAATATATTTTCGTAAAAGTTTGTGATTTGTGATGCCGGATAATATTTTTAGTATAAAACAACAAAAGTTATACCATTTATGACTTTAAAACATAAAAGCATAAAATATATGTAGATATAATATAGTTTGTGATAAAAAGAATGATATTTTAGAGTTAATGGCAAAAAGTATACAAAGGTTTTTATTTATATAGTTTAAAGCAAGTTGTGTTGACAAAATATAATTCTTTTTTAATTTTTTTGTGTTCCTAAAATTTTTGAGATGCTGTTTATAAATGAGCTAATTTGAATTTTCTTTTTTTGAAATTTTCTAATTGCTAAGATTGATTATAGACAAAACAAGAAATAAAAAATGAAATATGTACTTAATTCTTATTAAATTTTCTGTAAAAAAGTTTGTTGCTTTACTACCCGAAAAATAACAAATCTGGGTCTACGAAATTATATTAATATAAAAACGTCTCTAATGCGTTGAATTTCAAAATTCCGTCTTCTTCTATAGGCGTAATTTTTAGTAATATACCTATATTTCAAGAGAGTAACATGATCTAACAATCTTCCATTTACTACTTTTCTTGATAATGATATTTGATGATTTTGGGCTTTTGTCTTTGTTATTCAAAATTTAAATTTGTAAATTGTAAATCCCGGTGAAAAATTTGGTTCTCTTACCATAGAATAAAAGAATGAAACAATAGGAATGGGCCGAAATTTTGAACATCAGTTACCAATAGAAATTTAATCATATTTTTACAATATTAAAAAATAAAAATTGATTGTATCAACCACTCGGTAAAATGGCACTCAAATTAAATTTAACAAACCTATTTATTGATTTACTTATTTAATTAATTACTGCTAATCTATCTAGCTGTCTATAGCTTGGTTAGATAAATATTTTATATAATTTTACTTGACTAGGTAGTATCGATAGTTCTTGTGTCATGACCCTTCTTGATCTAAAACAGCCCTAGATCATATTTATACATTATATATGATGCACGGAATACTCTGTGGTCAGAACCGGCGTTTCCCTCTTTTTATTACATTCATGATGAAATTTCAAGGGTAACCAAAAACCAAAACCATTAAAATTTGTGCTTTATGGTTTTTTAAATATATGCGGTTATAGATTTTGTTATTTTGAAGGAATATTTTGTTGTTATAATTTGTTATGTTTATTTGTAATTGTCAAATTCTGTAAACAGGAAATTATATATCGAAATTACTAGCGGTTTCAATTTCATATTTGTCAACATTATAGGTATGTAAAAGATAAGTTTATTCTTTCATATTTGTTATTTATTTTTGCCATTTTAGTCTGTTTAAAATGGCAAATGCTACTACACAGAATATTATACAAAATGCAACCCAAGACATGTAAGTTTATAGTTGTAATTTGTTAACAAAACATTCCCTAAATACCAAACTTTTTTATTTGTTCTAATTTTTTTCCTATTGCTCTGTATTTTAGAAAATTTTTGGATAATGATGTTAGTGAATATGGAACTGAAATATTGGGAAAAGTTGTAAATGTTCAGTGCGGTCATGGAAATCACTGTTTAGGAAGTTCTAAAGTTCAGCTTTGCGATCGTGTTAATTATAACTGGGAATTCAAGTATTACCATGGCCATCTCATTGCTGCTCATTTTAGTAGGAATATTATTGCATTTACAATGAAAAGTAAGCACAGCACAACTCTTTAAAATATATTTTGATTAAATTAGGTATTTTAGATAAAGAAGGTAGTATGGTAAGAGTTGCAGATCAGTACAATCCTGAAAAAAAGACCCTTATTAAAAACTTAAAAGGGGATGTAAAAGATCTGGCCTTTGCTTATTCAAGCTTAGTAATAATTTTAGGTTGTATTGATTCGGAAGGCAATATTTTAATTTACAGTATTCAGGAAACTCTTGAAAGCATAGCGTATCCTTTTTATCTTTAATATTTTTATTATTCCTCAGAATACATTCACTAATTGGTGATAAAATTTGCATAGTGCTTTTTTTTAAATGCCTTTGAATTTATTTTAAAAAATTTATGTATTTGTTCCTATTAAATGTAGATGTGTTTTATTGTGTCATATTTTTCATCAAGAATCACCAGGATCTGATAATTATCGGTTAATTTGGTGTCCGTTTGTACCCAGTTATGAAGAGGATGAAGAATCGGATATTGGTGATGAGCCAGACAAAATGTTCGTGGTTTTAAATGGGAAAAGAGGTAAGATTGGTTTTATTAGTAACAATAGCCATTATTTTATCTCTAAACTTAACCTTTATTTAAGATAATTTTAACAGAGACCTTAAGCAATTCAGGGAACTAGTTTCTTCAAACAAAATTGAATGTTATAAAATAGTTAAATATTTTTATACTCTTTATGCATAAACTTACCTATCTGCAGGAGGTTTCAGAAGAGTATAAACATTTTATAATAATTGCAAAACATAGTAAATATTAATCCTGAGAAGAACCTTCAACCTTACAGTTTACTTATAGCAAAGAATATTATAGTTTTAAGAACTCTCGTGTGGAAGCTTTAGTGATTTGTCATACGGTGGCGCTTTTGAACATAATCGAAGCCTGAAAATGCTAATATTTTAAATTTTGAGGACTACGCGCGGCGATATTTCGTACGGTGTTGCCAAACATATTTTATTTCTCGATATTTAAAGAAATATGTATTGATTATATATTTCGTATATTCGATAGTACATGAGGCATCCTAAGGCTATGAAAAAAAAAACGTAGCTATGAAAATAAAATTTTAAATTTTTAATTTTTTGTACCTTCTAATAAAAATTACTTCTATTCCAATAAAAAATTAACTAGTATGATTATGTGTTATCTGTGCTAGTATTAGGAAACTGAGTAAATACGGAGAATATTAATTCGTTCTCTAAGATGAGCACTACTAAGTAATTTTTAAAATTCGACCCATAAGGGGTGTAATTAGATAAAGGGATGTAATTATACAAAAAAAAAAATCTGTACCTACTAGAAGTATGAACTTTTGCACAGATGTGGCGCATTTGAACATTGATAAGCGATTTTTGGAAATGTATAGCTAAGGGTAGTGAAACTGGGGTGAAATTTTGTACAAAAAGTGTTAGTTCTAGGAGTATGAAATTTTGTACAGAGTTTCCTTAAGTGACGAAAGTGAGTACCTAGAAGCTAATTTTGACATTCATCCCTTAGAAATAAGGGATGAAAATTTGTACAAAAGGTTAAAATCGGTTTTAGAAGTATGAATTTTGCAGACGTTCCTTATGTAACGTAATTTAGCATTAAGAAGCAATTTTTGGAAATTCGCCTTCTAAGGGTGTGAAATGAGGGGTTGAACGTTCTGGAACAATAAATTCTGTTCAAGGAATATGAGAATTTGCACAGAGGTTCCTTATGTAGCGTAATTGAATAATTAGAGTGATTTTTGGAATTCATTCCTTAAGGGGGTAAAAGTAGGGGTGAAAATTTGTATAATTTTTTATGAAAAATCCGTTCTAGGAGTAGGAGTATGAAATTCTGTTCAGAGGTCCCTTAAATGATGAAAGTGAGTACCTAGAAGCGAATTTTAGGCATGCATCCCCTAAAAAATAAGGGATGAAAATTTGTACAAAAATTTGTTAAAATCGGTTTTAGAAGTATGAATTTTGCAGACGTTCCTTATGTAACGTAATTTAGCACTAAGAAGCAATTTTGGAAATTCGCCCTCTAAGGGTGTGAAATGAGGGGTTGAACGTTCTGGAACAATAAATTCTGTTCAAGGAATATGAGAATTTGCACAGAGGTTCCTTATGTAGCGTAATTGAATAATTAGAGTGATTTTTGGAATTCATTCCTTAAGGGGTAAAACTAGGGGTGAAAATTTGTATAATTTTTATGTAAAATCCGTTCTAGGACTAGGAGTATGAAATTCTGTTCAGAGGTCCCTTAAATGATGAAGTGAGTACCTAGAAGCGAATTTTAGGCATGCATCCCCCTGAAAAATAAGGGATGAAAATTTGTACAAAAATTTGTTAAAAAATCAGTTGTAGAAGTATGAATTTTGCAGACGTTCCTTATGTAACGTAATTTAGCATTAAGAAGCAATTTTGGAAATTCGCCTTCTAAGGGTGTGAAATGAGGGTTGAACGTTCTGGAACAATAAATTCTGTTCAAGGAATATGAGAATTTGCACAGAGGTTCCTTATGTAGCGTAATTGAATAATTAGAGTGATTTTTGGAATTCATTCCTTAAGGGGGTAAAACTAGGGGTGAAAATTTGTATAATTTTTTATGAAAAATCCGTTCTAGGACTAGGAGTATGAAATTCTGTTCAGAGGTCCCTTAAATGATGAAAGTGAGTACCTAGAAGCAAATTTTAGGCATGCATCCCCTAAAAAATAAGGGATGAAAATTTGTACAAAAATTTGTTAAAATCGGTTTTAGAAGTATGAATTTTGCAGACGTTCCTTATGTAACGTAATTTAGCACTAAGAAGTAATTTTTGGAAATTCGCCCTCTAAGGGTGTGAAATGAAGGGTTGAACGTTCTGGAACAATAAATTCTGTTCAAGGAATATGATGATGATTATATATGATGATTTGCACAGAGGTTTATTATGTAGCGTAATTGAATAATTAGAGCGATTTTGGAATTCATTCCTTAAGGGGTAAAACTAAGGGTAAAAATTTGTATAATTTTATGTAAAATCCGTTCTAGGACTAGGAGTATGCAATTTTGTAGAGAGGTCCCTTAAGTGATGAAAGTGTACCCAGAAGAAAATTTTGGACATGCACCCCTAAAAATAAGCACTCCCTATAAAACAATTAAAATAAAAATTTGTCTAAAAAAAAAAAAAAAGTTGGGGTGGGCCATTCTTATCACTTAGGGGTATAAAAATAGATAACAACCTAGGAATAGGTTGTGACAAAACAAACCAAACCAGACCTACTGAATATACATATAAAATTTTATCAAAATTGGTCTAGCCGTTTCGGAGATGGTAACAAAAATTAAAAAAAACAACCCCTATTAAAATATAGGGGATGATGGTGGAAACGGTGAAAATTTAGGGTTATTTGTATTTATTAATGCCAACTAAAAATAAAAACATTTTTCTTTTCAAAAATAAAAAATGAGGGTGGGCTACCCTTACCACATAAGGGTATAAAAAATAGATAACAACCTATTCTTAGACGTACTGAATATACATATAAAATTTTATCAAAATCGGTCAAAGCCGTTTCACGGATGGTAACAAAAAGTTAAAAAAACAACCCCTATTAAAAAATAGGGGGATGATAGTAGAACGGTGAAAATTTTGGGTTCTTTGTATTTTTTAATGCAAAATAAAAAAAATAAAAATATATATTTATTCAAAATATAAAAAAAATGGGAATGGGCTACCCTTATCACTTAAGGGTATAAAAAATAGATAACAAACTATTTTCAGACCTACTCAATATACATAATAAAATTTCATCAAAATCGGCAAAACCGTTTCGGAAATGGTAACAAGAAACTTTAAAAAAAAACCCTATTAAAAAATAGGGGATGATGGTAGAACGGTGAAAATTTAGAGTTGTTTGTATTTTTTTAAGGCCAAATAAAAAAAATATTTTTTTTTCAAAAATAAAAAAAATGAGGGTAGGCTACCCTCTCGGCTACCCTTATCACTTAAGGGTATAAGAATAGATAACAACCTATTCTTAGACGTACTGAATATACATACATATAAAATTTTATCAAAATCGGTCAATCGGAGATGGTAACAAAAAACTTAAAAAAAACATCCCCTATTAAAAAATAGGGGATGATGGTAGAACGGTGAAAATTTAGTGTTGTTTGTATTTTTTAATGCCAAATAAAAAAAAATAAAATATTGTTTTTTCACAAAATAAAAAAATGGGGGTGGACTACCCTTATCATTTAAGGGTATAAAAAATATATAACTACCTATTCTCAGACCTACTGAATATACATAATAAAATGTCATCAAAATTGGCCAAGCCGTTTCGGAGATGGTATCAAAAAAACAACCCCTATTAGAAAATAGGGGATGATGGTAGAACGGTGAAAATTTAGGGTTGTTTGTATTTTTTAATGACAAATAAAAAAAATTAAAATATTTTTTTTTTCAAAAAATGAAAAAAAAATGGGGGTGGGCTACCCTTATCACTTAAGGGTATAAAAACAGATAACAACGTATTCTCAGACCTACTGAATATACATATAAAATTTCATCAAAATCGATCAAACCGTTTCGGAGATGGTAACAAAAAATTAAAAAAAAAACATCCCCTATTAAAAAATAGGGGATGATGGTAGAACGGTGAAAACTTAGGGTTGTTTGTATTTTTTAATGCCAAATAAAAAAAATAAAAATATTTTTTTTAAATAAAAAATGGGGGTGGGCTACCCTTATCACTTAAGGGTATAAAAATATATAACAACCTGTTTTCAGACCTACTCAATATACTTATAAAATTTCATCAAAATCGGCTAAGCCGTTTCGGAGATGGCAACAAAAAAAAATAAAAAACAACCCCTATTAAAAATAGGGATGATAGCAGAACAGTGAAAATTTAGGGTTGTTTGTATTTCTTAATGCCAAATTAAAAATAAAAAACATTTTTTTTCTTTTCAAAACTAAAAAAAATGATGGTGGGTTACCCTCTCGGCTACCCTTATCAGTTAAGGGTATAAAAATAGATAACAACTTATTCTTAGACGTACTGAATATACATATAAAATTTTATCAAAATCGGTTAAGCCGTTTCGGAGATGGTAACAAAAAATTAAAAAAACAACCCCTATTAAAAAATAGGGGATGAAAGTAGAACGGTGAAAATTTAGTGTGTTTGTATTTTTTAATGCCAAATAAAAAAAAAATAAAATATTGTTTTTTCACAAAATAAAAAAATGGGGGTGGACTACCCTTATCATTTAAGGGTATAAAAAATATATAACTACCTATTTTCAGACCTACTGAATATACATATAAAATTTCATCAAAATCGGTTAAGCCGTTTCGGAGGAGTACGGTAACCAAAACTGTAACACGGGAATTATATATAAGATAATATTATATGTAAACTGCGGAGTGCGGAGAACGGAAAGACTGATTATAGCGATAGATAAAATTTAAAACTATAATTTAAAACTATTCAAGAAAGTACACACAAAACAAGGCAACGCCGCGCGTCTATTCGTTCACTTCCGAGCAAAATAGCGAGGCTCCACGAAGTTGGGGCCTCGCTCGCCAAAGCGAGGCCCCATCGACAGGTCAGATTTTGATGCCAGACGAGACTTCTAGGGTATTAAGATATTCTTTGCTTATAGTTAGAAAATAGTATTTTTGAAGACGTTATAAAATGTTTTTCACAAAAGTTGTCTGTATATAATCTTTTATTATATACACTTCAAGGGGATTTACAAAATTTATTGAGAATTAATAATTTTTATTTTTTATCCATTGTATTTAAATTAAACTATATTTTAAAAAATTTTCTAAAGCTTTAAGAAAGTACTGTCATATCATTATATGCAGATGGTTTATTTTCTATGTTTTTTATAGTAGTCATTACATAGGAAGTCTACCTAATGACTAACATTTGTTTTCTTGTCTTATTCATCAATAATCTCACTAAGGGCATAATTACTTTTTCATAATTATCTAATATATACCATCCTGGTTATTTTAAATTCTTGGTCTGTATTTTAACACATGAAACAGAGGTAAAGTTAGCTCATTTATATGAATACTCTCTAACACTGAGCCATTCAATATGAGTCATTTTACTGGGAAGTGAAAAAAAAATAGTTTTCTTCATTTCTATGAAAGTCTACCAATTTTGAATATTCCACCTGCAGAAACAATAGCACCACTGACAATTTTTTACCCCCCAGAAAACCAGTCTTTGAAAAAAAGAAATATTACAAAAATTATAGAATTTTAAATAAAAACTAAAAATTAAATAAAAATTTTTTGTGTATCATTTGTTGGTATTTTTTAGCTGAGATTTATAATGTAGGCGTTTTAAGCAAAAAATACGGCAGCGAATTTTCAATCGATCCGGATGAAACATACGAGGGTTACATTGAAATAAATCACACTTCTGATATTAATAATGCCTCGTTTTCACTAGACGGAACAGCTGTCGCTATAGCTTGCCAGGATGGATTTGTGAAGTTTTTCCAGGTATAATAATTAAATTTAAGAAATTTTATCTCATATTAGGATAAATTAAAAAAAAAATTACTATATTTTAATCATAATTATTTTATGTCATATACCGGGTCTTTCTAATTTTTTTTTGTCGTTCTTACGGAAACGAAAATGTCAAATGTATCGTCAATTACTTATCATTTAGATTAAATATCTTAAACAATGTGTTGATTTTTTTAACGTTTGATGCCTTCTAACGGACAAACGAAGCACTTTTGTATAGAGATAAATTGTGTCCAATGAACTCATTTTGATCCCAAAAATACATAGTAGTTCTATGTCCACGGAATATTGGGGCACCCTATATATTCTGTATACAGGGTTGTTCACCACATACCACATGGAGTATTGTAGCTAAACGATTAGATTTTTACAAATTTTAACTTTTGGGTTCGTTGAAGGACTATTAGAGCTACAATTTAAAAATATTTTTACAAGATACGGAGTGTCCCAAATAAGTAAAAAATATAGTTGTATTTTTTAAATGGAAAACCCTGTACATTATTCTATTTTTAGATTTTATGATTGAAATAAAGTTAAATTTGATTAAGGTTTATCACACTTAAACCTTACCGTTTTTGAAATATTTTCAATGTTGTAATTGCAGTAAAAAATTTAAGGCTTCATTTCTGCAAGGGTATAAAAGTTTTTAATACTAAAAATTTACTGAAGATTATTCATTGATCAGATATTGTGTTGCAATAATAAAAATTATACTATCTTATACAGAGTGTCCAAAAATTTATATTAAAAAATTACTAGCTTTAAACGGCAATAACTTGTTTAATTTAAATGGAACACCATGTATATTTTACGAGAATCAGATGCACAATTTAATTGTCTATCAAAGTGTATTATACCATTTTTTACTTATCTCTTCAAGTTTTCGTAGAAAACGTATTTTCTTATAATTTAGACCTCATTTATCACTATACTCATGGAATATTGACATTTTAAATTATTTATAAAGATGTAACATATTTTCAAATAGCACAGATACTAGTATTGTCGATATAGTTCGCTTATTTCATTAAAAAATAAAAAAAACTGTTTAAATATTTTTTTCTTAAAGAAGACCAATTAATATGATCCCAGTATTCAAACTACATCAATTGACTGTTTACGATGATTAATAATAATTGCTCCAAATACTTAAAAAAAAGAATATTGTATGTGCAATAGACACTGTGGTAAAAAGTAACACCTTATAAATTTTATTTAATTTTTTGACTAATGCTTATTTATAACAATAAAGACGTTTATTTTCATAACTTATTATTATATTGATTTCTGAGTCGAATCCACATTTATTTAGAATAATTTAATAATTAAAACAATTAAGTATGTAATTAACTAATTTTTGGGCGGAAATAATGGTGCTATATTTAATTGGTATACTCTTTTACAAAGATTTAAATAGTTTTCTTTTTCTAAACAAATGGGCTTGCAATATTATTATTTTTAACATCTCTACATTTTGTACATATCGTGGGCGTACAGCAAAAATCCACTAAGTCACATTTTTGGTTGAATTGGATTAAACACACCAATATGTCCAGTTTTTCACGGTCTTTAACATGAAAAACCCATTAAGTCCAATTTCGGCATCCTTATATTATAATGATCCAAACCAAAAATGTGACTTAGTGGATTTTCGCTGTACGCCCACGATATGTTGCTTTAAAAAAATATAAAATGTCAATATTCCATGGGTATAGTGATAAATGAGATCTAAATTAAAGAAAATGCACTTTCTACGAAAACTTGAAGAGATAGGTAAAAAATAGTATAATACAATTTGATAGACAATTAAATTGTGCATCTGATTCTCGTAAAATATACAGGGTGTTCAATTTATATTAAACAAGTTATTACCGTTTAAATCTAGTAATTATTTAATATAAATTTTAGGACACCCTGTACAAAGTAGTATAATGTTTTATTACTGAAAGACAATATCTGATCAATAAATAATCTTCAGTAAATATTTAGTATTAAAAACTTTGATACCCTTGGAAAAATAAAGCCTTAAATTTTTTACTGCAATTTCAGAAAATTGAAAATATTTCAAAAACGGTCAGCTTTAAATGTGATAAACCTTAATCAAATTTTTACCTTTATTTCAATCGTAGAATCTAAAAATAGAATAATATACAGAGTGTTCCATTTAAAAAAAATACAACTACATATAATATTTTTTACTTATTTGGGACACTCTATATCTTGTAAACTTATTTTTAAATTGTAGCTCTAATAGTCGTTTAACGAGCCCAAAATGTACAATTTGTAAAAATCTAATCGTTTAGCTACAATACTCCGTCGTATGTGGTGAGCAACCCTGTTTTATTTATTATGCTATGCCAATCATACAAATCTGCTTTGTATTTAAATTATAATTATGTATTTAGCTGTACATGTTGGATCAGCCAAAACAAAAGTGCCTACACGAATGGAAACCTCACAATGGAAAACCATTATCTTCTATTCTGTTTGTAGATAATGTTTTAGAATTCAGCCCAGAGTAAGTATACCATCAAATTTTAAGTGATTTAAACTAATTGAACACCTAACATTCTAGATGTTGGAAATTTACTATTACAACGGCCGAAAACAACTCAGAAATAAAACTCTGGTCGTGCGAGTCTTGGCAATGCCTACAAACGATCAATTTCTATCCGAACGTGCAAAGTAAAGTGCCAGAGTTGTTTCTCAACATTGCCATCGATTACCGGGGACAATTTGTCGTGGTTTCCGATATTAATAATAAAGGAATCTATGTTATGCGGTTAAAGAAGTTGAGTTGACTTTTATTTGTTTTGGTCCATTTTTAATTTGATAATTTGTAGAAATGAGGCTGGAAATCAAATCGGAATTACACAGCTGTATCATCTGCTTTTACCGGCGCCATTTTTAAGTTTTCACATTCTCGACGCTGACATAAGGAGAGTGCCCTATTCGTACGATAATTCGGACGCTGAAGAATCTTACGAGGAAGATATGATATGTTTGGACGATTTAAATGACGTAGCAGCGGAGGTAACGTCAATTTTCGCTATACAGTAGATAGAATTTATCATATAAGTAATTCTCCTCTAATGCTAGTGTATAATACATAACATCAAGACTTTGGAATAGAAAATTGTATTCAAGTGGAAGGAGAAGAGAAATGTTTTTTTTAACCATTCGTCATAACCGACTGTTTTTTATAGATGTTTTAAAAACATCAATGTTTTGCCATTGATATTCCATGTTTTTTAACATCAGTGTCAATGTAAATTAGCGATGGGAACTATCGAATGAATTAGACTATCGAATGGTTAATGAATGAATGATTTCAACTACCGAATGGTTTTATTCGAATAAAATCATTCATTCATTTGTATACTAAAGCATATGTGACAACCTCGCCGTGCGACTAAATGATTATCGTTGAGCCACGACTATCGAATGCTTTTGATAAATGAAATTTAGTATTCGTTTGATTTTTGTATGCGTCGGTGCATTATTAGTTCTTCCAAATTTTTATAACTTCGCCGTGTATAAATACTGTGCTATTTTTGCGTTTATTAAAATAGTTAAAATACTAAAATAGTAGTTATTTTTTAATTTTATTTATTGACGATTGTGTGCATGTGCAGGTGGTCAAAATTTTTCCGAAAATTTGTGTGGTTTTCCGTAGTCCGATCTTTCAATTATTTAATTTTATATGGTATATGGTCTATTTTTTAATGGGAAATTTTGAGAAGTAGCAATTTTTAAGAGAGATGAGATGAACTTACAATTAATTTTAAAAATACATATTTGTATTTTAGATGTTTTAATAATATTGTCAAGAAAAATGGCCTATCCGCCAGAAATTAAAAATGTATTACTGGTTGCCTGCACAACCGCAACGTATCCGCCAGAAATTAAAAGACTTTTTCAGGCGCCATCTTTTAGTCAAGTCGAGAAGTAAGGGAATCAGACAATAGAATTGTCTGGTATGAAGAAGTACGCTTTCCGAGAATTGGGGAAATTTCGAGAAGCAGTCAATAGAGTATATAAGCCGGAGCCATCGACAACTGAGAAAGTTTTTGAAATTTGAATATACCGCGTGGAAATTGAAAATCGGACAATTTGGTGAAGGAATCTTATAAATAGTTAGTTTGTTGTGTGTTATAAGTTAGTAATTGTGTATAAAGTGAGAAAAATAAATTCGTTAAGTATTTTATTGTGAGTTTAAATTAGTGGACCCACGGAATCCGTAACAATTGGTGTCGGAAGTGCGATTCAAGAGGATTTTAAGAAGAAATTAAGTGGATTGGAAGATTTTTAGACCCAATTAGAGTATTTTTATGGTTGGTACAAGAGAACAAGCGAAGAAAATGGAAGAAGTAAGCAAATTATTGGGCGATTTTATGGAGAATATGAGAAGAGAGAAGGCAGAAGAACAAGAAAGACTACGTGAAGAACGAGAAGAAGAGCGAGCCCGACTAGAAAAAGAGAAAGCAGAAGAACAGGACCGCTTACTGAAAATTCTAGAAAATCAAGACAAAATTTTCGAAGATTTAAAAATCCAACGACAACAAGACAAACAAGAAGAACAGGACCGGCTTGAGAAAATTTTCGAAGATTTGAAAGTTCAACGACAGCATGACAAACATGAAGAACAGGACCGGCTTCAGAAAACTTTAGAAAATCAAGAAATTCGACTTCAGAAAAGCTTGGGGGAACAGCAACAAGCAATGTTGGAAGAACGTTGCCAGGAACAGCAGAACCACTTCAAGAAACCGTAGAAGATCTTGAGGAACGCCTTCAGCAGAAGATAGAAAGATTGGAGATGGACCTACAGAAGACCAAGGTACAAGTAAGGACACCTGGCGTTCATGGAACTGCGAACCTCAAGGCCCCGACCTACGATGGACAAACGACATGGACAATGTACCACCGTCAGTTTGAAGCAGCCGCCGCTGCCAACGGATGGACTGACCGGGAGAAAGCAGCGGCACTTGTCATCGCGCTGCGTGGCCCTGCCCTGGAACTGTTGCAAACTATTCCTGCAGCCCAACAGCAGGAATACCAAACTTTGGTCACTGCACTGGACAGAAGATATGGCGACCAACATCGACGCCAACTTTACCAGGCCCAGATCAAGACACGCCTGCAGAGGTCCGGAGAGAGTCTGCAGGAATTTGAAGCAGACTTACGTCGGCTGGTACACCTAGCGTATCCTGTAGCACCGGAAGGATTTAGGGAGGAACTCGCTGCTCAGTGCTTTATCAGCGGACCGAGGGACAACGAATTACAGAGGGCGCTGCAAATATCCCGATTTTATACCAGCAGCGAAACACTGGTCAGGGCGCTAGAAATTGAAGCTGCTTTTAGCGCCATCCCTAGACCGAAGATAAGATCGGTAACGGTCGAGGAACAGCCCGGAAGTTCTCACATATGTTTGGAGGAGATGTTTAGTAAACTATGTGAGTTACTAGTGAACAAGAGTAGCAACAACACCCAGACAGAAGCTATAGAAGATCACAGGACATAAGGTGCTTTAGATGTGGCAGGGATGGCCACATCAAACAGGATGCCGCGTTCAAATGCGATCCCGTTCACCATCCAGAGAACGTAGGCACCAGGAAAACTAAAATCAGTCAATACTAAGGGGCGAGTATTGACTGGGGAGAACAGAGCCCCCAGGATTTTTTCCATTAGGAGTCTGGGAAGAACCGCTGACAGTTTAGTGATCGACGGGAAGGTCAATGGTAGGAGAATCCGAATGACAGTGGACACTGGCGCTATGGTATCGTTGGTGCGGGCTAACTCAGTGCAAGGATTGAAGCTGATGCCTCTGGGAAGAAGAGTGTGTTTACGTACAGTTACGGGGGAAATGGCCGTTGTACGGGGAGAGGCTATCGTCGAACTGAAGTTAGGAAATTTGAAGTTTCAGCATAGCGTCTTAGTGGCAGATATTGAAGATGACTTCATCTTGGGCATGGATGTGATTCGTCAACATGGATTTTCGTTCGATCACCAGAGAAATATCTTAAATATTGGAAATGAAGAGTTCATGTTATCTCCAGACGAGGGACCAGGCAGAATGGATGTAAGATCAGCGGAAACTGTGGTGATACCTGGTAATACCGAGAAAATCGTATTCGGTAAAGTGGAGAAAATCGCTGGGTGCTGTGTTGGACTGGTACAAAGTAGCGACAACAAACAGGATAGGTACTTAGTAGGAAAATCATTGGTTACCACCGACAAGAATATACCGATCAGAATTGCGAATGTTTTCCCGAATTGTGTCAAGATCCAAAAAGGTGACAAGATAGCCATCTGCGAACCTGTAAGAAGTGTCACCCGATGTGATGAAGTGTCGTCAGCTTTTACACAAAAGGCATCCCAAGAAACACTAAAACATCTAGAACAGCCATGGGATCACCTAACACCTGAGGGAGAAACAGAAGGCCAAGCAGTTCCTGCTAAAAGTATGGCAGTATTTTTGAGAAGAACAACAGTGGAAGAACGGATTTTGTGAAGCACCGGATTAATACTGGTCATGCTCAGCCGATTCGACAACGTCCTAGAAGGGTGCCCCTTTCCAAACAACAAGAAATGGAGACAATGGTAGATAAGATGCTAGAAGATGGAGTTATCGAAGAATCATCGAGTCCATGGTCATCTCCTGTTGTTTTGGTGACGAAGAAAGATGGTAGTACACGATTCTGCGTGGACTATCGGAAGCTCAATGACGTCACTAAGAAGGACAGCTACCCACTGCCACGTATAGACGACACGTTAACCACACTGGCAGGTTCGTGCTGGTTCTCCACTCTCGACTTAAAGAGTGGATACTGGCAAGTTGGTCTGGACGAGGAAGACAAAGAAAAGACGGCTTTTTCTACAGGAAACGGACTATACCAATTCAAGGTCATGCCGTTTGGATTATGCAATGCTCCAGCCACTTTCGAACGTCTCATGGAGGTGGTGTTAAGAGGATTAACTTGGAAAACGTGCTTGGTTTACCTCGACGATGTATTGGTTATGGGAAGAACTTTTGAGGAGCATTTGCGAATTTAGAAGAAGTCTTTGGCCGCATACGGAATGCTCACCTGTACTTGAACCCGAAGAAGTGTAGCTTATTCCAGCGACAAGTGGAATTCTTGGGTCATGTAGTCTCGGCAGACGGAATTTACACCGACCAGAAGAAAATCGCTGCGATCAAGGATTGGCCCTAAACCTCGCGACAAACATGAACTTAGAAGTTTTCTGGGTTTATGCACCTATTACAGAAGATTTGTCAAGGGATTTGCCAATATAGCTGCACCCTTACATAGACTTACAGGTGATGAAGTCGGCTACGAATGGAACACCGATTGTGATGTAGCCTTTGGAAGACTTAAGGCGGCTTTATGTTCAAGTCCTATTCTAGCCTACCCGCAACAACAAGGGAGGTATATCCTGGATACCGACGCCAGCAATATCGGCATAGGTGCAGTGCTATCACAAGTGCAAGATGGCGAAGAACGAGTGATAGAATATTACAGTCGAGTTCTATCCAAACCAGAAAGGAATTACTGCGTTACCCGGAAGGAGCTGCTAGCAATTGTGAAGGCAGTTGATCATTTTCATAAATATCTGTACGGCCAAGAATTTTTAATTAGGACAGATCATGCGGCTCTCAAGTGGCTTATGGAGATGAAACAACCTGAAGGTCAAATAGCACGATGGCTCGAGAAGCTCCAACAGTATCACTTTACCATCCAACATCGTGCTGGAAAAATGCATGGTAACGCAGACGGTTTATCCAGAAGACCCTGTCAAACCGATTGTAAGCACTGCTGTAAAACGGAACAACGTGAAGGCACTGTCATGATAAGGAGTTTTAAACTTGGAACCGATGAACAGTGGACGACGACACAATTGAGGAAAGATCAAATGGAAGATCCAGACATCGGAGCAATACTACGGCTCAAGGAAGGTAACGGCGAGAGACCACCGTGGCAGGATATTGCGGACAGAGGGCTCGTTTTCAAAGCTCTCTGGGCTCAGTGGAATTC